GTAATTTGTTCTGCGGAGATTACATTTATTTAATTCTCCAACTATTTATGGGGTCAAGGCAGTGTAACATTTTGTAAATTCAAAAATAGTGGACGTTAATTAACCATTTTTTTCGTTACATTTTTTTTGTAACACAATTCCTTTTTTACACTAGTGTAAATTTTCACAATTTTTATATATTCATTTATTTTTAATCAGCTGGACATAATTACAACTAAACAAGAAACTAAATACCAGATGATAAAAAAAGTGAGAAAGAAAGGTCCCGTTTGGGCACATTTCATTATTGTAGATAAGAGTAATAATTCGCATCCTCCTGTACAATGTAAATATTGTTCTAAAAAGTATCAACGAGCTGTTCCTGAACGAATGCAAGTCCATCTTGACAAATGTCCAAAAGCACCGATTATTGCAAAATCACAATCCGGAAAACAACCAGTAATTGATGACTTTAATGATCGTATGAGTGAAGATGATCAGAATGCTAACGTTTTATCTTCTCAACATTTTTTTCATCGTCTTCAGCCACCTTTTAAGTTACAAAATAGTGAAGAAATAAATATGCAAACAGATTATAGTGATCAAACAGAATCTCACACTAATATATATCATTTAGGATATTGTTATCAGCACGGAATAGGGATTGAAAGAAATGAAACAAGAGCATTTCAATTATATAAAGAAGCAGCTGAAAATGGTCATATTAATTCAAAATATAATCTTGGAAGATGCTATCAACATGGAATAGGAATTGAAAAAAATGAAATTAAAGCATTTGAATTATTTAAAGAAGCTGCTCAAAAAGGTCATGTTACTTCAATATATGAACTTGGAAAATGCCATCAAGATGGAATAGGAATCGAAATAAATAAAATTAAAGCAATTGAATTTTATGAAAAATCAGCTGAAAAAGGTCATATTACTTCAACATATGAACTTGGAAAATGTTTTAAATATGGAATAGGAACTGAAATAAATGATATTAAAGCGTTTGAATTTTATAAAGAAGCGGCTCAAAAAGGTCATATCACTTCGATATATGAACTTGGAGAGTGTTTTAAATATGGAATAGGAACTGAAATAAATGAAATTAAAGCTTTTAAATTTTATAAAGAAGCGGCCCAAAAGGGTCATATTATTTCGATATACGAGCTTGGGAAATGTTTTAAATATGGAATAGGAACTGAAATAAATGATATTAAAGCGTTTGAATTTTATAAAGAAGCGGCTCAAAAAAGCCATATTACTTCAATATACGAGCTTGGAGAATGTTATCAATATGGAATAGGAACTGAAAGAGATGAAACTAAAGCATTTGAATTATATAATGAAGCAGATAAATTAGGTGGTTTTGAGTCATTGTATAAACTTGGAGAATGTTATCAATATGGAATAGGGACTGAAAAAGATGGAACTAAAGCATTTGAATCATATAAAGAAGCGGCTCAAAATGATCATATTTATTCAATATATCAACTTGGAATTTGTTATCAACATGGAATTGGAACTGAAAAAAATGAAATTAAAGCATTTGAATATTATAAATTAGCTGCTAAATTAGGCGATTCAGAGTCATTGCATAAACTTGGAGAATGTTATCAATATGGAATAGGGACTGAAAAAGATGGAACTAAAGCATTTGAATCATATAAAGAAGCGGCTCAAAATGATCATATTTATTCAATATATCAACTTGGAATTTGTTATCAACATGGAATTGGAACTGAAAAAAATGAAATTAAAGCATTTGAATATTATAAATTAGCTGCTAAATTAGGCGATTCAGAGTCATTGCATAAACTTGGAGAATGTTATCAATATGGAATAGGGACTGAGAAAGATGGAACTAAAGCATTTGAATCATATAAAGAAGCGGCTCAAAATGATCATATTTATTCAATATATCAACTTGGAATTTGTTATCAGTATGAAATAGGAACTGAAAAAGATGAAATCAAAGCATTTGAATCATATAAAAAAGCAGCTAAATTAGGTATTTCCCGTTCATTTCATAAACTTGGAGAATGTTATCAATATGGAATAGGGACTGAAAAAGATGAAACTAAGGCATTTGAATCATATAAAGAAGCTCAAAATGATATTAATATTGATTCAATATATCAACTTAGAATTTGTTATCAACATGGAATTGGAACTGAAAAAAATGAAATTAAAGCATTTGAATTACAAAGATGATGAATTGGGCGATTTAGATTAATTGTGTGATATTATCAATATGGAATAGAACTGAAATAGACATAATCAATGCAAATGAATTATATACAAATTACTGTAATCGTAGATATAGTCATGAAATATTCTATTTTGAATATATGATTTAATTGTATTTTTCTTAACATTTTATATTTGTAGATTGGGACGTGATCGGTATGTAAATATAATTATATTTAGAGACTAGAATATAAATAATTATTTGTGCTTCTTTCAATTTGGTAAAGTTTTTTACAATTAGGATTTTAATTTTCTTTGAATGACTGTGTCATCCTCCATTTTATTTAAAATTATTATAATTTTTATACAATGTCATAAAGAAAATTATAGTTAGATTTGGGGAAAATTGAAATTCTAAATAATTTTTAATGCAAATGTACGAATTTTCCAATTTATATTAAATATGCTATTATTTTATTACTACAAAAATATATTGTTTTATTATGTTGTTAAATCTATATAACTAAAAAAATTTAACGTTTGGATTAGTCTCCGCATAAATAATTTGAATTGTGTAACTTGAAATTCATGCCATATAATTAAAACCCATGACATGCCTCCGCCTGATCTATTTATGGTCAAAAACTATTCGATCCGAGTGCATTCCAATCAACTAACCCAATTTCAGTTTTACCTCAATCGGAATTTTTTTTTCTGATTATCAGTTAATTTTTTTGTCCCGATTTTTTTTTTAAATGCTTTTTTTAAATTTTTCATTTTTTTTTGAAAAAATTTTTTTTTTTTTTATTAATAATCCTATTGTTTCGGTCTTTTAAGACCGATTATTTTTTTAATCTTTTTTTTTAGACCGTTATTGTCCTTTTTTTTCAGAATTTTTTTCGGTACTTATTTTTTTTTTCAGATTCCTTTTATTTCCTTTTTTTTTAAACCGATTTCTTTCTTTATCCTTTTTCTTTCCCCAAAGTTTTTTTAAATTTTTTTTCTTTTTCTTTCAATTTTTTTTTCCCGTTTCTTATCTTAAAGCCCGAAATAAAATATTATATTAAATATATTTACAAAATTATTATTATTATTTTTTTTTAAAACCAATAACATGTAGGAAAATTGACCGACGTTAATAGAAAGATGATTAAGATTTTTATTATTATAGCCAAATCCATATCCGAAATTCTCTTAAAAATTTTAACTCAAATGGTTTAGCTAAATTAATAATTTATCGAGTAAGATGAGTATCAAAAGAATAATAATAAATGAAATGAACAGATTCTAATACATTTAATTGTCAAATATTTTTCCTAAGTTGGTTATAAGTTTAAGATTGACGACATATTATAAAATAAGAAAATTTATAATGATCATCACCGTTGGCCAGAATTATCAATTTTTACCGGCACTATATTTTTTTAATGCTGGTCGATCGTCATAATTTTAGTCACCAGGGTTGAATCATAAAAATATTTGTACAGTAGTATTTCATAAAATACTTCTAAAAAATTAATATATTTTTATTGATGGTTATTTTTTCACAATTCCTTAATTAATCCGAATTTCATTCTACACTCAAACGTCAAATCATTAATATAAATAGCTACATTGTTGTAAATATAATTTATATCATTCTAAATTTCTAATATTATAAATACATATTATTTTATTATTTTTTGTTAACTAATTATTATCATATTAAATTCCTAATTATAAACAAAAAAAACTACTGTAACCATCTTTAATTTACTTAGTGTTACATTATAATACTAAATTTTTCTATTTAAACAAACTCATCGGTCTCGGTGCGAAGCAACGGGTGACTGCTAGTAAAAACTAAACAAATGATCATTTATCGGAGTTTTTTCCAGAATTTTTTTTATAGGGTATATTTGTTAATTTATTCCAATCGTTCTCTTTCCTATTTTATTAATAATATTTTCATTTTGACGGTGTTGTGCTTGTCGCAAAGACTTTAAAAACAGATCGAATATTATTTTGGTACGCAAACGAAAGATATCAATTGTACCTAGTCTGACCAAGCAGAAATAACTGTTATTCGACCTCAAAAGGTTAAAATTTTTAATCTTTTAAAACGTGTCCTCAGAATTCAGTCCAACATATAAAGAAGTGGTTAATTTATGGTGTATATTCAATTTAATCTTTCTGATTCGATAAAATTTTATGTACTGTGATGATATTGACAAATTAAATTCATATCCAATTTTGAACAATTAGGACGAGCAAATAATGATAATAGAATCGGGTTATATAAATAACTAAGAGAGAAGAGATATTGGATATTCCGATAGATATTTTGTAAATTGTACTGATCGTTCGTACTCAATCACAAATTTCTTAATTTGTAGCAAAATCAATTGCATATGCAAAATTCTGTAACAAATTAAAATAATCATGTGGTAAGGACAATACATATATTACATAATAATAATTTTGTGTTATGTAAGATTTATCTTAACTGCATTACATAACGATTATTTCCTTTATAGTCCACCAAGCTGATCAACGTATTTATTAACAATTAACACGATTATTTTTGTCAATTATAGATTTTGTAATCAAAAATAGCTGGTCACATTTTTAGGGGTTAGTAATTTCTTAAAATAGTATGAGAATTGATTTTTTAATTTTTTTTTTTCTTTTTTTTATAAATTTTTATTTTTCTCAAAAAAAAAAAAGAAAGAAAGAAATTCATTCTATATGATGCAAAAAAAGATTTTTATACTTTTATAATATTCATCTACGATTAATACCGTTTGACAAAAAATAATTAGTATCATAAACTGTAAACGAAATAAAAAATGATAATATACGTATGCTATCAAATAAAAATAATGTTAAAAAGAAAGAAAACTTCACGTTGAAAATGATTCCGTATTAAAGTCATCGGATTATGAATTAGATAATAGTAATAATGAAGAGTTTAAATCAGAACTGGATGATGATGAGGAAAATGATAAATCTAATAAGCGAAGAACGTATCACTCTGTTATCTACAAATCAAGACGATGATGAATCAGGCACTTCGGAATTCAAAATGTTAAAGTCGAACAAGTTTGTTTCCGAGAATAGTAATCTTAAACTGGAACAACCAAATGTTAGCATAGAAACTGATACGCGAAAAAATAATTTCATGATAAAGATAATGTAAATTTGGATCGGAAATTTACTATTTAAATATTAACATCAAAATACAAATCCGGCTCGTAATATATAAGGAAGTCATTCTAAGTATGAAGTGATAATAAAAATAACAAGATTTTTTTTCAATCTATGAGAAACAATGTGAAATTAAATAAGTTAAAGCCGTTTTCAGAACTTATCAAGACAAGAAATTTGTAATTAAATACGAAGATATGATGAAGAACAAGAAGAAATTAATATTTTATTTGTAATATCCTAGAACAATATTGGATGGCGTTTGCTTAATATGTTTACGTTCTATTGGTTGCTAACAATTCTCGAAATTTTGAACAAAATTTTAAGAATTGGGCGAGCGGTACTCGGAGTTGATGAATTAATCCGAAATAGACAATTAGTTAGATGCATTGGATAGTTTAAGCTATCTCTAATGGTGAATTTGGTTAGATATTTAAAAGGTATAATTCCATGAATTTAGTTTATTTAGTAATAAAATGGTATTAACGAAAAGTATAATGGCTTTAAAAAATAGATTTGAATCATAAAATTTTTATTTAATCGCGAAAATCACGTGCTGCGATGTTTTGGAATCATGAGACTACAAAGACAAGGCTCATAAAATGCCGAAAGTTACTAAAAAAGGCCAAAACCAAACTTATATATGATGATGATGATGATGCGGCCAAATGATGGTATGGTTGCTTGTTCAATTATACCACAAGACATCTAATAATGTTTATTTCACTTGGTATAAATCGTTAAAAATATTAGAATTATCAAGTGCCCTCGAAGCTATTCATAATAAAGGGAAGGCATGTGGATGATTGTTGTAAAACTTATGGTAAATTTTAGCTTTTTACTGACTAAGTCTTTAATTATCTTACGAAAAATTCAAGTATGATCGTTCAGATTAAAGATTGGCGTCCAAAAATTCAAAGGATGTTTCAACAGACGGTAAAGATTCGAACAAACAATACAACTTGTATGGCGTATATCGTTGCATCAGGGCAGCACCATTGTCATCCGAAATAGCCGAGGATCTTTGGGTATTGTGTTTAAAGTGTCATAAACACATCGCCGGACTTACCAATGTAGAAGTGGATCGGGCGTCCTATTTATAATGCGGAAAAAAAATATTATTCTAACCCTGAATGATTTTTATTGCTAAAAGGAAAGGTTGCGTAGGATCAAAATTCAGTTCTGTAATTTTCTTGAAAATCAAGAAATTAAAATTCATAAGGTAAAAAAAGTGAAAAAATAAGGATCTTCATTTATATTCTTTATACTTAAATCATTGTCATTAATTCATTTCTTTTTTAATTTATAACAGTATATAGAAGATAATGTTTTTGTTTTATCTTGTGAACTTTTGAATTTAAAAAATTTAAATGATGATGATGATAACGCGAATCTTGCTACTGGACATCCAAATTTGTTTTGTAATGATTAATAGTGTTCGCGTTATCAAATTTCCTCCATGTAATCACATTCAAATAATTCGTGAGTGTATCTTAATTTCGTTAATTCAATATAAAATCTTTATTTCCAAATCATTTTCTAAGCGATACTTATTTTTGGTAATTTCAATAAAATTGAATTATTAATAATTATTTAAGCTTTCTTTAAACTTGAAAATTATTAACCACAATGTAAAATTTGAAGATTACTAGTTGCATAACTTTAGAATGATAGAACCAATATTATTGGTTTTCCTGATAATAAGTTATACGACTTTATCTTAAATACGAATCATTTTTATTATGGTATAATTGAAGGAGATTGTGTCGCTTCTTTGAGTTAATTAACAATTCGTTACAGAATTATCCGGAAAAAAAAATATAAAGTGATTCCTTATAGTCAAATTTTGAAACATCGGGTATTTTTTTTTTTTAGAATAATTTAGAGATACTGTTACACTAATTTTCTATTAATAATATTCATTACAGTTTATGGAGTTAACTCGCAGCATGTAACAACATTCCCTATACATAATTTCGTTAATTAACAAATTTATGTTGTAGATAATTTCCTTTTTTATACTAGCGTAAATTAATTAATTTATATATATATAATTCACTTTTTTTTATCGTTGACAATTATTTTCTTTTATATAACTAATCAAAAAACTAGTATATATACCGAATGACAAGAAAAGAGAGGAAGAAAGGTCCTACTTGGAGCCATTTCACTATTGTAGGCAAAAATAACGACTCGCATCCTCCTGTAAATTGTAAATACTGTTTAAAATATTATCAACGAGCCGTTCCCGTACGAATGCAAGAACATTTGGACAAATGCTCAAAAGCACCGGATGATGCAAAATCACCATCAATATTGAGGGGCAGTATGGATGAAGAATCACTAAATAAAATACACTATCTAGGACATTGTTATCAGCACGGAATAGGGATTGAAAAAAATGAAATCAGAGCATTTCAATTATATAAAGAGGCAGCTGAAAATGGACATATTATTTCTAAATACAAACTTGGAAGGTGCTATCAACATGGAATAGGAATTGAAAAAGACGAAATTAAAGCATTTAAATTTTATTATGAAGTAGCTCAACATAGTCAAAATAGGCACATCATTTCGATATATGAGCTTGGAGAATGTTATCGATATGGAATAGGGACTGAAATAAGTGAAATTAAAGCGTTTGAATTTTACAATATTGCAGCTGAAAGTGGTCATATTACTTCAATATATAAGCTTGGAGAATGTTATCAACATGGAATAGGAACTAAAATAAACGGAATTAAAGCGTTTCAACTTTACAAAGAAGCAGCCCAAAAAGGTCATGTTACTTCAATGTATAAACTTGGAAAATGCTATTACGATGGAATAGGAACTGAAATAAATGTAGTTAAAGCGGTTGAATTTTACAAAGAAGCAGCCCAAAAAGGTCATACTAATTCACTATATAAGTTTGGAGAATTACGTCAATATGGAATAGGAACTGAAATAGATAAAATTGAAGCCTTTGAATGTTACAAAGCAGCAGCTAAATTAGGAGATCCCGATTCATTGTATAAAATTGGAGAATGTCATCGTTATGGAATAGGAACTGAAGAAAATAAAGCTAAAGCATTTGAATTTTACAAAGAAGCGGCTAAATTAGGTCATATTACTTCAATATATAAACTTGGAGTATGTTATCAATTTGGAATAGGAACTGAAGAAAATAAACTTAAAGCATTTGAATCATATAAAGAAGCAGCCGAGAAAGATAATATTGATTCAATACACAGTCTTGGATATTGTCATCAATATGGAATAGGGACTGAAAAAGATAAAATTAAAGCGTTTGAATCATATGGAAGAGCAGCTCAAAGCCATCATATTAATTCACTATATCAACTTGCAATTTGTTATCAATATGGAATAGGGACTGAAAAAAATGAATCTAAAGCATTTGAACTATATAAAGAAGCAGCTGAGAAAGGTGATATTGGCTCATTGCACAATCTTGGATATTGTTATCAACACGGAATAGGGACTAAAAAAGATGTAACTAAAGCATTTGAATCATATGAAACAGCGGCTAAACATCATCATATTGATTCAATATATCAACTTAAAACTTGTTATCAATATGGAATAGGAACTGAACTAAATATATTCAAAGCAAATGAATTACAAAAAAGACTATTGTCGTCTTATACATAATACATTATTCCAAGCTTAATCACCAAAAAAATTGGAATTTGGATGGATCAGTATATACGGTATATCCGTGCGTGTATCCATTCAGAGAATTGGTCACTGCATGCTACGCATGACAATCACACTGTGAATTTTTTAGATAATACTGTACAGATGATATTCAAGCAGGGCTTGAACTCGCACTCGAGTCAGAATTTTTTTTGATTCGAGTTATATATATTTGATTTGAGAGTTTTATTTATTTTTTAATTTATTTAATATATAGTAAAAAAATATTCTTTACGATTATAATATTAATTATTAAAAAAAAACGAGGTTCATTTTTTTAAAAATTAATAAAATTAGATCGGCTAATTTAAATTATCTACCAATTTTTTTTTTATATAGTGTTTTTATTAAAAATTATAAATTTTTTTAAAAAAGGGTCGGCCATGGAGGTTGAAATATCAACATACCCAATAACTAGACAATCCATTAAATTGTCCGGTCGATCTGTTTTTTTTTAAAAAAAATCATTTTATTTAATAAAAAATGCATTTTAACATATAACATATATGTTTCATTGTTTTTTTTAATAATAAAAAAAACAAAAATTGGTTCTAATCAATTTCCTATATTTTAAAAAGCTGAAATTTTTTTTTTAGAATAAAAATTAATTATCTTTTTTAATATTGCTGATTTGCAATTGCATTTGCGGATTATCATTGGTGCATTTATAAATTCCACAACATTACATTTTTAACTTCTCATTAATATCTTCAACTAATGAAGAATACTTGCTTTGCATTAAATGATGATCACGCGAGTTGAATCAGCTGATCATGAATTTTATAAATACGTTAATGAGAAAATTCATATATATTAGATATATATATATTAGATATAAAAAATTTTTGCACTTGTGATAAAATCAAGTCAAAATTCGAGTTGAGTGCTAAAACTCGAATTCTGACTCGAATTCTAACTCGAGTACTCTTCAAGTCAGAAATTTTCTTGACGTTGACATACATCGTCCCAAGCTCAATATTCAAGAATTTTACATTATTAATATATATAAATTTCACAAACTACATTTCTTTTTTGAAATTATTATTTATAGTTAATTTTCAAATCATTTATGACTAAAAAATCATTAAATATAGTATATAGTTTTAAAAGTATTATGCAATTTAATGTATTTATTTTGAGTTACACGCATTTTTATAATCTAATGACTTTTTTCAATTTTCTAACATGTGAAAAAATTACAACTTGCAATTTGAAAATAAATTTTCATCTTTCTGTTATTACATTCTGATTGCTGAAATTTTTTTTGATATTACTTTTGATATTGTTCTTAATAATACTATATTTGGCCTCTTTTGGTATTGCTAGAATTACTAAATTTATTTATCGTAAGGAAAATTTTCTTTAGTTAGATTATTTAAGAAAATTTAAAACTCTATATAATTTTTATGTAAATGTATTTAGTTTTAATCTGTTTAAATATACTTAATTCAGTTCAATTACATCACGTGATATCAACGTTGCCGATGAAAATTATTCACTCCTCTTCTAGAAATAAAATAAGCAAAAATTATTTTATTTTATATAAAAATTCAACGTTTTTTTATTTTTTAAATAATATACTGTACACCGAACTTTATTTGCTTTATTGCATATTGTCTTGTTATATTTACCTATTTATATACCGATCATGCAACTACCGCAACTGTTGAAAGAATTAAATGATAAAATAAAAAGTACGGTTCTTATACTTATATATGATACTATACATCTCTCAAAAAAATAAAGGTCAAACAGAGATTGATTTAATTAAAATAAACGCAAATTTCAAAAATTAATTCAACTCGTTTCGAAAAATTTCACTAGTCGTATAAATTGTACGATCATGAATTGCAGTTAGGAATTTTTTTTAAACGTTATTACAAAGATACATAATACAGTATAATAATAATATAATGTATATAGAAAATTAATTTATAACGATGGATAAAATAAAAATTTTTTAGCATTATATACAAAATACTAAGAAAGCGGAAATCGTTAAAACAATTGAGACTACGTTCAACCGAAAATTTGGCATACAATTTTTTTGTTTTATTATTATTATTATTATGTTCCTATAACAATATCAAAGCTCGTGCGCATAATACAAATGCTTTAATTTATTTATTTCAATTTCTAATCCATATCTATAACATTCTATATTAATACAATATGACATTTCTGACATTTCTGAACCTTTCCTCCGCTTCTTTATATAATTCACATGCATTGATTTTATTAGCTTCGGTTCCAATTCTGAACCTTTCCTCTACTTCTTTATATAATTCACATGCTTTAATTTTATTTGCTTCGGTTCCAATTCCAAAATCATAACATTCTCCAAGCTCATATATTGAACTAATATGACCTCTTTCAGCTGCTTCTTTATATGATTCAAACGCTTTAATTTTATTTATTTCAGTTCCTATCCCATGTTTATAACATTCTCCAAGTTGATATATTGATTCAATATGACCTTTTTGAGCAGCTTTGTTATATAATTCAAATGCTTTAATTTCATTTTTTTCAGTTCCTATTCTATAATTATAGCAATCTCCAAGTTCAAATATTGAAATAATATGTCCTTTTTCAGCTGCTTCTTCGTATGCTTTAAATGCTTTAATTTTATTTATTTCGGTTCCTATTCCATGTTGATAACAATAACCGAGTTCATACGTTGATTCAATATGACCTTTTTGGGCCGCTTCTTTATATAATTCAAATGCTTTAATTTCATTTTTTTCGATTCCTACTCCATGTTGATAAAATCTTCCAAGATTATACTTTGAAATAATGTGACCTTTTCCGGCTGCTTCTTTATATAATTGAAATGCTTTGGTTTCATCTTTTTCGGTCCCTATTCCATATTGATAACAATAGCCAAGCTCATATATTGAACTAATATGACCTTTTTGAGTCGCTTCTTTATATGATTCAAATGCTCTAATTTTATTTATTTCAGTTCCTATTCCATAATTATAACATTCTCCAAGTTCATATATTGAACTAATATGTCCTTTTTCTGCTGCTTTTTTATATGAATTAAATGATTCAATTTCATTTATTTCAGTTCCTATTCCATAATTATAACACTCTCCAAGTTCATATATTGAAGTAATATGTTCATTTTGAGCCGCTTCTTTGTATGATTCGAATGCTTTAATTTCATTTTTTTCGATTCCTATTCCATATTGATAACATTTTCCAAGATAATATTTTGAATTAATATGACCTTTTTCAGCAGCTTCTTCATATAATTGAAATGCTCTAATTTCATTTTTTTCGATTCCTATTCCATGCTGATAACAATATCCTAGATAGTGTATTTTATTTAGTGATTCTAATTGGTTACTATAATCTATTTGGACATTTATTTCTTCACTATTATTTTGTAACTTGAAAGGTGAAAGTAATACATTAACATTCTGATCTTCACCCATACGGTCACTAGTAAAGTTGACAATTATTGGTTGCTGTCTAGATTGTAATTTTGAATCATTCAGTGCCGTTTGACATTTGTTAAGATGGGCTTGCATCCGTTCGGGAACAGCTCGTTCATACTTTTTGGAACAGTATTTACATTGCACGGGAGGGTGTGAATTGTTACTTTTGTCTACAATAATGAAATGCTCCCAAACAGGACCTTTCTTTCTTTCTCTTCTTATCATCTGGTTATTGTTTAATCGTGTGTAAAAAAATAACCAAGTTCAGAGAATTGAGACGATAAAAACAAAAGGATATTTATAGGAAATTGGCCAATTGATGCTAATGAAAAAAGGAAATTTTGTATTACAAAAAAATGTAACAATAAAAGTTCCACATAAACAAATCATTAATCAAGTACTAGAAGAAAGGGAGAATTGTTTTATCGGTTAATTAACATTAACTACACTGTATGACTGTAAAATGTTACGTTACACAAACGAATTTGACTCCGTAAACTGTTATAAACTGTTCAAAAAATGGGGCGAGTGCTGGGAAAAGGGACCATATTGACAAAAAAATTTTTTTTTAAAAAATAACAAAATGTGGATCAGATGGTCAGATCTACAATTATTTTATAAACTTTTTTTTGAAAAAAATTTCAATTTGGTCCCTTTTCCCAGCACTTACCCCAAATGGTCATTGTCGCAAAGTTCTAGAACAAACTTAACGATTTACACAAAATCACAAATCAAGTAACGTAAATAAGACCAGTAAAAATGGAAATAAACAAAGTTCGTCGGCGTAAAATTTGTTAAGAAAGATCAATGTATCTAAATTAACGTATTATTCCAAACAAACGATGCTGCAAAATTCGGGTATGAGGAATCGGGTTATAATTTTAATTTACGATTTTACGGAAACAATAACTCCGTCATGAATAAAGTTAATTAACCTAATGAAGTTGCGCAGTATCTCTTTAACTGTTAATAAAATTATTTAAATTTGTGCATAACTAGTAGTACTCAGGAAAATGAAATTTTACATCGACTAATTAATAATTAAAAATAAAAATTTTATATCTGCTTTTTGAATAATGCACATTTTATTAAAGTGTGAAATTTTTCATGGTTTAAATTATTATTTTTAATTTTTTTGTATCGTTATTTCATTCGAATTATGTCTAAACTTAGCCTCAAGCGTTGGCCAAATAAAATTTTTATATGTTAAAAACTTCTATACTTGCCATTCTTTAGAAATTTAGGTTCAAATTAAATATAATTTTCGGTATTTAAATCATTAAGGAACTATTAATCGCGAAAAGATATGATAATTGGGTACGGCGGTTAAATATCATCCAGTTCGGTAAAATTATTTCAACTCTCTTATCCAAACTTGGAAGTTTGAATGAAAATTTATATAGTAATACCATTGAACTACGCCATTTTATTGATATCACAAAAAGTATAAAAAAAACATACTGATTAAATGAAATTACTATTTATATAATTACCCTTCCTAACGTAGTGAGAGTACAAAGGAAGATTGTTTCCAAAACCAAATTTTATTATATGTCTTTATTATCATCCCTTTAGAAATTATTTTACGCAATATTTTTATTAAACACAATGTATTCAAATAACTGTAATGTATCTAAATTACTATTGTTATGTGCCTGGCATGTATTTGAATTATAATATATTGGTAAGATCAGGATTAACTTGTACTACGTTATCCATTAATTTACATTTCGTAAATTAATTTGTGACACCCATATGAAAAACAATAATTTAACTATCGCATAACCACATGATGCATAAAATTTTTTCTTGTTCTTATTATGGCAGGAGGTAAGGGAAGTCAAAAATTAATCCTTACTTATAAACCAATTAAATATTTAATTTCGGGAGTGCTAAATTGGCTTCTTTTAGAAATTAATAAAATTTTAGATCTTATTAATCATATTACTCTTGAACATATTAACGCTTGAAATATCTGAGGATCACATAACTTTCATAGATTTATTAAAGGTTTCTTTCCTTGTTCGTTAATTAGTAGTTTTTTCAAACAATTATTAGTTACGAAATCAAAAGTTGAAATTTTATCATACAATTTTAGGAACGAAATTTTGGATAAATCTATGATTTTTTGGAAAATGAGGTGTAATAAGCTTAATGAAATTGATAAAGGTTTGGGAATTGATAAAAATGTTAAAAAACAACATTTTGGTAAAGAGCAGTTTATTGACAAAACGCGCATATCTAAAAATAAGAAACACTTTAATCTACAATGTCTTCAAAGTCATATTTATTATGGGGTAATACAGTAGATTACTATAATATTATTGATTACGGTAGTGTTTCGTAGTTTTATTTTTTATTTTTATTTTTCTTAGCTTGTTGTACTATTAGTTAAAGGTGTTGTGGCGGGTTTTTATATAACATTACCGAAGTCCATACGAATAATAGTAGTTATGCGGATATTTTAGTGAACCTATTTGGTGTGCAGGATGGTAGATAGTTCTTTTGAACATAGAATCTTAAGTCTCTAATAATATTTTTTTTCGATCGTAAATGTTATATCATGTAGATCTTTTCTTTTTTTGTAATTTTTCTTATTTCCTAATAAGGTAATAAATTGACTTAAAAAAAAAAAAAAAAAAAAAAATTAAATGATCATCTTTAAATTAAGAGAAACGTGATCAAACGTATAATTAATCTACTATTTGAAGACAATTAATCAAAATAATATCTCTTAAAGATGATACTGTTAAGGGGATTTTACATAACATTGACAAGAGCATTACCGATAATCTAATTTATTCTTTCTTTAATTGGATATCTAAATCCGTTGTATTATAACAGAATGAAAAATAATAATTGTTTCCATTTTACTAATTTTTTTTAGGGCAAAGATTATTTTTCAAATTCCAGAATTTATTTTTAGATCAGGTGATTTGTCGATCGATAGCGCTGCCTCCAAAAATTGTAGCCGGACCAGGTAACATATAATATTACGTGTGTGACAATTAGAGTTTTTATAAAAAAAATGGCGTTACTATCAAGACATAAAATACTTCATATGAAAAAAATGAAATAGACCCTCTTTTATTTTATCCAAAAATAAGGATATAATAGCTATTTCTAACACATTTATTTTTTAGTAACCATTTAACTGTAAGGTAGAAATCAACTAAGCCTACATATTTTGTTTAAATTCACTTCAAAAAAAAAGCACTACCCTTTCCAAGCCTTCCGCCTCTAAGATTGGTTGCCGTAAGTAGCGATTATTATATATCGAATTACATCCTTTAGCGATTGTAATATTATAAACGTAAGCTGTAAATTGGCTGTAAATACTACATTATTGTGGTTAGCTAAAAGATGGTAATTCTGATTTACAACCATTATATTTACTTGACTTTTGAACTTACACCTAATTACGGAGACCAACACTACCTGATACTAAAGCATTTGGATCATCATGTAAAGAAGCAGATAAATTGTGTAATCTAGATTCATTGTAAATGTTATAGATATGGAATAGGAACCAAAATAAATACCCTATAAATAGGTAATTTTCTAGTTTTTATTCCGAAGAAACTCAGACGCGTAATCATTTTTCTGAAAAATTTTTTAGAAGGCATTATATGAGCTTGGAAAATGTTATCAATATGGAGTAGAAGTCGAAACAAATAAATCAAAGCAGCACAAGAAAGCGATGTCAAAATAATTAAAATTATTTGCCTAAAAAAAAAAAGAAATATCGAAACGCTAGTAAAACGTTTCATTAAAATAAATTATTAAAAGAAAATTCTTCTCCCCACTGAATTTCCCACATCAGGAAATTTTTTAGGCGTAATCCTGCGATGACTTAATGCATAAGTTTTGTAAATTTTTTATGAAAATTTACGTGAACTTGTGTACCCATCGCAGGGCTACTAATTCTTAATTACATCTGATAATTTCTGAATGCACGTGCCCAAAGAGTCGAAGAACCAATCGTCTAAAAAAGAAGAAAGAAAATGGATATTATTTAAAAGAATACAAAGAAGCAGCTGAATTAGATAACCTTGATTCATTGCGTAAACTTGGATATTGTTAATATTGTTATATGGAATAGAAACTGAAAGAAGATGGAATTAAAGCATTTGAATCATATAATAAAGCAGCTTAAAATCTTACTAAATCAACTTGGGATTTGTTATCAATATGAAATAGGAACTGAAATAAACATGATCAAAGCATATGAATTATATACAAATTATTATAGTCGTAAATTAATTTAATATAGTAATGAAAATTTTATATTTTGAATATATCTTTAGGGCGTCATTATTTGGCGACTTGTCACCCAATCACGTGATTTAATAAAATTTTTGATTGGCTAATTTTATGAAAAATTTTATTGTTATTTTTTAAAAAAAAAACTTTAAAAACTTAGCCAAAACAAATTATTTTTTTTTTTAAATATTATATGAAAAAAACATGAATTTTTATTTAAATTTTTTGTAAGATATGACTAATCTAATTTTATTTGATTTTATAATTGAACTTCTTAAATAAATAAAGAATAAAATAAATGAAATAAGGAAAAGAAAAGAGAAAAAGAACAAAGGGGAAGAAATGAAGGAAGGAAAAGAAAAAAAACAAAGGAACAAAAGAAAAAAGAAACAAAAGGATAAGAAAAAGTGAAAAATGAAATATCATAAAGTAAACAAAATTGAAGTACAAAATGGAACATGAAGTAAAGAACAAAATGGAACGTGAAGTAAAGAACGAAATGGAACGTGAAGTAAAGAACATGAAGTAAAGAACAAAATGGAACATGAAGAACGAAATGGAATAGGAAATAAAAGAGGGAAGAAAGGAAATAAAATGAAATAAAACAAGCAATAGAAATGGATGGAATAAAGAAACGAAATAAGAATAAAGAATAAAGAAAGAAATAAGATTAGTGTGGTGGAATAAGGAGTAAAAAAACAAAAATCAAAACCAAATCCTAAAAACATACCTTTATTGTAGCATCTCAAAATCAAGAAAATAATGAAACATTAGTAAATGTGTCATTAAAAAATCAACAAAACCACTTTTTCGAATATTACCTTCCAAGCCCAGTGTTAAACTACCTGAACCCTAGAAAAAAGGAATAAGCGAAACATTAGTAAATAATTCATTAAAGAAATCAACAAAAAAAAATTTTTTTTTTATATTACGCGAAATAAAAAAAAAGAAATTAGCAAAACGTTAGTAAACGTTTTATTAAAGAAATAGAAAAGAAAAAGAAAAGAAAAAGAAGAAACAATAAACATACCTGGTTTATAGTAAGAAAAACGTTTTTTAAAAAACAAAAGACACGTTAAAAAAAGATTATCTATAAGCAAATAATCATATGAAGTAGCCAATCAAAATATGTTTATTCACGTGATTTAAAGGTCGCCATATCTTTATGGTAATTTTCATCATTACTTAGAGACTGGAATTTAAGATAGATTTAAAATTTTGGCAAAAAATCCAAAATTTTTTCAGCTCGATTATAACTATTATTTTGGTATCTATATTATCCTTCAAATTATTATATGAAAGTACAAAAAGATCAAATTTATTTGTCGCAATTCTTTTTAATAGATTTGAGAAAATTAAAATTTTAAATAATTAGTTTTAATGGTATACACTCCCGGCCAAAAAGTTTAGGACCACCCCTATGATCTGCAAATGATCTGCAATAAATAAACAATAACATATTTGTGTAACCTAAAATTTGTACCCTATGATAATCAATAAATAGTGAACGTCATGCATATCTTTTTTTTCGTTCTTTTATTTTTATTTTTTGCAAAATGGTCAAAACAAGAGAACTTTCGGATTTCGAACGCGGAAGAGTTATCGGTTTTTATGAAGCTGGTGACTCAGAACGAACAATTTCAGAAAAAACTGGTTATGGTAAAACCACAATTCATAATATTATATCAAAATATAAAAAAACAGGTGCTTTTAGTATTGCTTCTCGAAGTGGACGTCCAAAAAAATTAACTGAACGGGATAAACGTCATCTTAAAGTTATTGTTACTCAAAACCGACGTGAACCAGTAGAGAAAATAGTAAAAAATTTTGCCGAATCCACTGGAAAAGTAATATGTAAGAATACTATGAAAAATACATTATATAATATGGGATATCATAGTTGTACTGCTCTCAGAAAACCCAATGTCAGTGAGCGTAACCGAAAAATTCGTTTAAAGTGGGCTCGTGAAAGACGTTTATGGACTATAAATGATTGGAAAAAGGTAGTATGGAGCGATGAATCCAGGTTTACATTATTTCAAAATGATGGAAAAATACGAGTTTGGCGTCTTCAAGAAGAAAAATATAATATTAACTGCCTTGTTCCTACCATGAAGCATGGCGGAGGAGGTATTATGATGTGGGGGTGCTTCTCCTGGTATGGTTTAGGTCCATTGGTAAGAATAGATGGCCGTATTAATAGTGAAAGATATATTGAAGACATCCTTGGCTATCACGTGGTACCGTTTTTAGAGGAATTTGAAGAGGAAAATGGTGAATATTTTTTTCAACAAGATAACGCACCAATTCATACAAGTGCAAGAACGCGGAATTTTATTGAAGAAACGGAAATAATTTTGTTACCATGGCCAGGGCAAAGCCCTGACCTTAACCCCATCGAACACCTTTGGGACGAGCTTGAACGTCGTATTCGAGCCAAGCAAAAACATCCAAAAAATTTAGGGGAATTGGAGGCGCTTCTTCAAGAGTGCTGGTCAGAAATTCCATGTGAAGTTTATCAGAAGCTTGTTGAGAGCATGGTACGTCGAATTGAAGAGGTAATAAAAGCTCGTGGTTATCCCACAAGATATTAATTGACGTTTTTATTAAATTTTTATAAGGGTAAGTATTATAAATTAATGAGTTAATTTAATTTTTTTTAAAGAAAAATACCGATTTTTTATTAAAAACTTTAATATTATTAAAAGTATTTAATATTGCGAGATTTTGAGCTGGGTTTTTTACATTATATTATGTTTAATATGATGTTTAATAAATATAATTTACATATAATATATTATTATAAAAAAATTTTTTTTTATTTATTAATAGTTTTAGTTTATTTTATTAAAAAAAGGGGTATAAAAATGTTACATATTAAATTTCAATAATTTATTATTATAATGAATTTAAATATTATTAAATTTGTTAATTAATTAGTAGAGAAAACGTATATGATCTTTATAGTTTAATAAAAAAAGTTATCGTTAAAAAATTCCATTTTTTCTATTATTTACCGGGTGGTCCTAAACTTTTTGGCCGGGAGTGTATTTTCAATTTCAATCCTTTTGATTCGATAAAATTTTATGTAATGATAATATTCCGATAGTTGGAATAATTATGTTGGTCATTATTTTCTTAATGTTAACTCGAAAAGTACGTTCTTGTTGTACCTCTCAAAAAATAAAGGTCAAACAAAATAAGACTAAATTAATTAATTAAACACTAATTTCAAAAAAAAAGGAAATTTGTGAAAAAAGGGTTTCAGTTTCTTAAAACTTTATTACAGATAATAATAATATAATGTATATAAAAAATTTTATTGAAATGATGGATAAATAATTTAAATTGCTTTTTAGTTTTTAGTACAATAGAATGAATAAAACTGAATGTATTAAAATCTCATTCTGTTATATTTCAGTAACCGGCGTAAGAATTTACCGTACAACACTGACTAAAATACCCCGCCTGGGTATAAATCATGATGAAGTATCGAAAAAAAGCACGAAAATCGCATATTAATTCGGATTTTGAAGAAGAAAACGACAATGATCAAATGAAGAGAAAAATATTAAATTCGATCTAATTGGTGAATTAGATGATAGGAAAATTCGATTAATATTATGATTAACGACTTAACGTTAACGAGAAAAAAGTCGTTGGTGAACAACGAAGAAAACGAGGATTTTGTGATCGAAAAACAAGTTATAGTTATGATTCATATCTTGGTGTTAAATGAAATTTAAATATGGCTCGCACTATAATAAGTAATTGTCGTTAAATATGAATATGACAAGACGATAACGGATTGACATCGATTCAAGACAATGAGATATTTGAGATATAAAACATGAAGGAACTATTTATTTGCTTGCAAATGCACAGTCACAAACAAGAAAAAAAAAATTTCATGCTTTAATGTCTTATTCGAAACATTCATTTCAATACCTTCAGTAGCACTTCTTCATACTGCTGATTCATGAGAGAAAATCTGCATATCATTTGGCAGTCATCACTAATTTTTCCGAGTAGTACGATACTACTCCTCACTTATTTTACCTTGCATATGAAGTTAATAAGCCTCAGATGTTCATGTAGATCACGAAGTATACAGTATTATAAATACGGACACGTCTTTAACAAAATCTCATGAGCAACTTTTACTTGTCTGATAATTGTTTAGCCATAAATCAAACTATCGATAACTATTACACCGAACCCACGGCTTGGGAATAAAAGTTCGGTACATAGTAGAGTTCGGCAGAGAAATTTTTCCCCCAAGTTTTTTTCGGTATATCAAGAAAACCACGTGATTAATATCCCAATTTCGGCCAGAATTAAGATGTTTTTGGCATCAATTAATTTAGGCAAAAATCAAGTGGTTCTAATTCTGGCTGAAATTAATTAATTTCAGGCGAAATTGGCAAATCATGTGACTAAGTTATATCAAAAATTCAAAATAAGTGGTAAATCAATAATTTTAAATATTATGAAAACGGATTTAGAAAAAAAGTTCGATAAATCAAGAGTCGTTATATCGTGTGTTCGTTATATCGAGATTAGACTGTATAATGAATTGAATACATTAAAGATAAAACTTATCGAAGACTCTGATGAAGAAAAAAAGAAGAAAACCTGGATTCAACAGAAAAAAGAAATAAAGGGATATTCAAAGTCTAGATGTAGAGCAAAAGGATGTAGTTATAAATGAAACATTTATACTCGCTGAAAATATATTATTATTAAAAAGAAATATTACACTATACTAGAGATAGAATCCCTTAGTACTTTAACCATGAAGGAAAGTAAAGAGTGTGGAGTGTGGACTGCTTTCAATAGGAGAATAGATACGAGAAATAATAACTTTAGGCAGGAAGATAAAGATGATCTTTCGAACCTGCTAAAGAATATTTTAGATAAGGCTAACATAAAGATAACAAGTAACGACGAATTTTATCATCATAAAATATAGACTTTAGATCAAGAAATAGATGAAGAAAATATTTTTAAAAAAGTTTGAAGCAAAATTCTTTATTATGAATAAACGAGAAAGAGAGACTGACTGCTAATAAATGAAAGTAATAAAATGACAAAGAGAGGGATAAAGCATTTATGCTTGCCCGAGCCATAACCCATATGATGGCGTATTTTATCAAACAAAATGTTAGCAATTTCTTTGCTATCTAATCATTTACTAATTAACTTTATTATATTACATTTAGTATCCTATTAAAAACTTTCCCAGCGTCCCCCCAGTAGCAGTAAGTACAAATTTTCACCCACGTGACTGGCCAATTTATCCAAAAATCTGCAGCACCATAACTTTTTGGCCAAAAGTTAAGGCATTAACTTGGCGTTATGAAATCACGCATGTTGCAAATTAGTGACAATAAGGGTTTTATACACTGAAAAATGACCTCAGAATACTTTGTAAAAAATACTTTAATGATCACGTGAAAGTAAGATTTTATTGGTGATGCTAGGTAAAATGCTTTCGAATAATGTAACTTTTATGATGCATATGCATGCGATCTGTGTTAAAACTAAACATGATAACAAACAAATGTTATCTTGATTTTTAATATGTTCTGTCTGACTAACTAGACGATCTTTATTGCAAAGTTCACCTTCTTCAGTTATAAGAAAAGAGCGTTAGCAGAATAGCAAAAATTCATTGATCCTTTTTTTTTTTTAATATACTGTATGTTAAATTTTCCAATTTTTTTGCAACAATAAATAATTACAGTAAACGTTTTTTGAACCTTTATTCTTATAAAAAGTGTTATTCGGAATTTTATCAAATGCTTACTTTTTTTGATTACGTCGATTATTAAAAAATTCACAGATGATTTTCGTCAAAATTTTTTCTCTTAAAGTCAGTTAGAATGCGGAAAGTTGAGCTTTGACAGGTAAATTATTTTTTACTTTAATAAAATTTTTCTTTTGAATTTTGAAATTTTGGTGCCAATAATATTTTTAACATATTTTAGTGTTTTAAATTATTTGAAGATAATATGTGATGAAAATCACCGGCGTAATGTTGTAGACCAAGTCCAAACCTTACCATCGGAGATCATCGTTGGTACAGTCTTAAGGCATTATTAGATTGGCCGATAATTTAGGCCGATGATAAGGTTTGGGAACATGGTCAAGTTTGGTCTACAACAGTTAATACTAAAAAATTTACGGTGCATTGTAAAATCATAACAAATGTTCGAGTGTCATGTGACTAATGATACGACTGATTCTAAATTTCAAATTACATACTTTAGAGTTTAGATTGAATTACACGTGTAAAATATAACAATAAGACTTTCTACTTTTTATTATTGGCAATTAAATTTATAGTAAATATAACTTATGTTGGGTACCAAAATAGATTTTATTTAAATTTATGACAAAACAAAATACATAATATTTCAGTAAAAGAAAGTTATCAAATATAGAATGATATTTATAATTTAGGTGTTTCGATAACATTTTTCAAGCTCAATATATCGAAGTAGTATGATCATTTGATCATTTTAAGCAGCTTCTTTATAATTGAAATGTTCTAATTTCAATTTTTTTTTAATAATTATTCCATACTTATAACAATTTTCTAGACAATGTATTCGTTGAAAAAGTGATGTGAGGGATGACGCATCAACATTCTGATCTTCACTGTGTCACTCAAGTTATCGAGACCCAGTAATTACTAAACTACGATAATAACAAAAATAAAAATGTATACTTATGATATTATCGATCTTCACCGTTTTTTTTACCTATTATTTCATCTCAAACTAACGAAAAAGCTGAACGGTAATAGTAATTTTCAAAGAGGGTATATTAATACATTATGACTAATGATAGTCAATCAATTAATTGCGTTAATTACGTCGTAATTGATCGATTCGAATTTAAAGGAAATTAACTCTTTGCGTTCCATTATTGTTCCATAATGTGGAGTTGTTTCGGACTGGCGCGTTGATAAAGATCCAATAATAAAAAAAAAAATAGTCCAACTCCTTTTTTGATTGATACCCATTATTTTTCTCTGGATAATCAGTGATTGGCGATAAATCATTCGATAATCGAGTATAAGTCGATTTTTCGATTAATTCGATTTTGGTGATAAAATATCCAAGATATCATTATTAATACATAATAAAAGTATTGTATTTATAATACAATTTATGACTGATAAATTGATGATCTGTAAAAGGGTTAATGGTAATGGTTACGTGGCGGCGGTTTCATAATCGATATTGGCTCGGACTTTACTTAGCCAGTCGTTCCCCACAATAGCAGCATAAGACTCAGCTTCGGTAACCACAACATTAATCGGAATGGTAATATCCCGAATAGTAATGGGAAAATCCAGCACTTCACCTAACGGTCGTTTCCTCTCGCCGTTTAACGTTACGGTACGTTTCACCGAAATCTGTTTCACCTGAAATCATTTTGGTTTCACTAAAAGGGCATTTCATTAAATGAAAATTTTGCCGAATGGACATTTCGCCGAATCCTTTTATCCCCGAATGATTCATTTCGCTGAAATCTACTTCGCAGAAAATGGTCATGATTGTGAGTGTTTAATTTTCTTTTTATATGAATTTTAGAATTATCTAAATATTCTCAATTAATTGAAGAGATTACTAGTTAATTAATTCGATCATTAGCTCTAAAAAAAAGAAAAATATATAACAATTAATATAAGTTACTTGAATGTTAAAGTGAAATAATCCCGAAGGAAAGATTTTTTAAAACAAAAAAGGATTTATTCTTTAAAATTTTTTTTGTTTATTTATCGCGCACATTGAATCTTTTAATTTTATAAGATCATATTGATCGTTACCATTTCAGTGAAACGTCCATTCGTCGAAATGGCTTCGACAAAAAGATCCATTCAACGAAATGGATATTCTAAAAAATGACACTTCGGCGAAAAGTCCGGATACCAATTGAAATTGTCATACATTTGATGCCAGCATTATTTAATTAAGCAAGTGGTTGTCGTCTAATTTGTGATTTTGCATTATTCAGTTATGTTCAGTGAATTGAGGCGATAAAAAAAAATCACTTATATTACATAAACGTAAAAACTATAGTTAATTAATCGAGAATTAATTAATTGGTTATTAACCAAACATACTGTAAAAATATACAGCCCATTAAATACACTTAAACGTGCAAAAGAAATGGTTCATGTTTGTAATGTGCAAATTTGGCGATTTACACAAAATCAAGTAACTTCAATTTAACCAGTAAAAATGGAAATTAAAGTTTTTATTCAAAAATACCGATGCTACTAAATTTGGGTATAAAGGATAGGGTTAATAAAATTTTATTTAGGTAAACAATAACTCCGTTATGAATAAAGTTAATTAATCTAACGAAGACCATGCAAAATAATTATTATTTGAATTTGTAATAATATAAGCGAAATTTTACATCGATTAGCTAATTATTATGTAAAAGATAGCGGTTAAAATATTATCCGAGGTGCAACTCTCCTATCCATACTTGGAAGGTTTAAATGAAATAGTAAAACTATTTAGTATTACAAAGTATAAAACAATTTGACATATGATCAAAATAAACTTATTCCTATTTATATAATTCACAATAAGATCGTCCTACGCTTATCCATTGGTTTATGAAACTCATACATCATTCCGTAAATTAATCTGTGACACCGCATGAAAAATCAATAAAGTAATTTTCACACACCACGTGAAATAAATTAAATCTATAAAGTTTAAATGGGACCAAACATATAATATTATCTATATGTATCTCCTAAGTAAGGGTGATATCATACCATTAAGGGGTTATCTAATAAAGTTGCATAATTATATAATTTTCTTTGAAGAGTTTCTGAAGCTGTGAAAGGCCAAAATTCATCTTTTTTTAGAAGTTAGGTCGAAATTTATCGTGTTGCTGCCTGATGCTAGTAGGCACATACTGTTTTGTGTATTAAATAATACATTGTTTGCTTTAAACGCTTTCGTGATACACATAACATTGACAACGAGTATTACAGATTACAAAGACATAATTTAATTCATTCTTTCAAAATCTTAATTAATTGTTTAATTCGTTGCAATACAACATAAATTAATTTGTACCCAAATATTGCATTCTAAATTTCCTTAGGGTAAAGATTATCAAAAAAGCCATCTAATCTTCATATTATTTCGTAAGAATTTTTTTATTTTTAAATTTCGCATGACGAGGTGATTTGTCGATCAAATAAAATTAACTTATCATAACAACCGAAAGCAAGTTATAGAAAAAAAATCACTTCGTAAAAAAAAACGACCCTTTTATTTTATCCAATTGTTTATTAGCTATTTCAACTCATTTTTTCTTTTTTTTTTTTAAGGACGCTTTGGATATAATTAAATCTTTATATTTGTTTAATTCACTTCAAAAAAAGCACCACTGGCACCCTTCCCAATTTTTAAAAACTAATTCGTAAAACGTGAATTGTTCGTCTTTTATATTAAATTTTAAATTGGGATGTCAGATTTTAATTGTTATTCGGTATTGCTGATATACTGCGCACTAAAATTTTTTATTTAATTTCATATTTTCAATAAAAATGAAGATATCATTAATAAAAAACTTTATAAAGAGGACAAATAGTGAGATAAATATAAAACAAATAAATAAATATTATATACTATATAAATATATAAATAATACTAAATAAATAAATAAATATGATATATAAACTTAATAACAAATATATTATCATTAAATGATCATTAATGAATGGAAAAAGAAATGAATCCAAAAATATATACACTACTAATTAAAATTTTTTAAAATTTTCTTGGTTTAATTCTAACAGGTAATTCTTTACAAAGGTTAAGTATTTCAGATTTATACATTAATGGAGCATTCATGTCAATTAATTCAATATCATATTTTCTATAAATTGACATTAATACACATTTTAATTCTATGATTGCCAATTTTCTTCCAGGGCAAATTCTAATTCCTCCTCCAAATATTGGAAAAATACTTGACATTTTTTTCTTTTCAAGTAAATATTTATTACTTTCTTCAACTTTATAAAATCTATCAGGATCAAATTTTTCAGGTTCGGTCCAATAATCCTTATGTTTCATTATTGCGGAAACAAGAACTTGAAATTTAGTTCCTTTTGGCCAATCGTATCCTCCAACTTTATCAGCTTGAGAATTTATACGACCAACAATAAAAGTTATTGGAGTGTGACGATATATTTCTTTGGTAACTGCGTCGCAATATTCTAATTTATCAAGATCTTTATTTGTTATTGGTCTTGTTAAGTCGGTTCCAAGAACTCTATCAAATTCTTGTATCAATCGTTGTTTCACTTCCGGATAATGTTCAACATAATATATAACAATGCAAATAAAATTCGCTGTCTGTGATTTTAAAAAAAGAAACGAGATTTTTTTTTTTTTTAAAAAAAAAAAAGCGATAAAATTCTTAAAATACATAATATTAAATAATTTTTTACTTACGGTATCAGTACCCCCGAGTAATGCGTCGAGTATATTACCAAAAATCTCTTTATCAGTCATCGGTCTTAATAAATCAGGGTCGGCATTTTTCACACCGTTGATATCACGTGGTGTATTCGCGGTTATATATGACGTTAACATATCTTGACCAAGTGGTTGATCTAATGGTGTATTTTCAATTTCAATCCTTCTTTCTTTTATAATGGTATATACTTTATCAAATAAATAATCTTTATTTTTCAATAATTTTTTAACTTTGTCACGAATAAATGGAACATTATTACGAGTGAACTTATTAAAAGCGAAAAAATAAAACATTCCTTCTAAATAAGTTTCACCTGATTCAATAAATTTTTTAGCTTCTTTTAATTTTTCATTTTCATTTTCATTTAAAGTATTTTTATTATCGTTAATTAATATATTATAATAAGAGGCGATAGCATCATTTTTTGTTCCTGTAGCTATTTTAAAAATCATTTCATTTGTAAATCTACGCATCCATTTTATAAGGTCTAATTCATAATCTTCTCCAAGATTATTAAAATAAATTTCCATTTCTTTCCATAATTCATTAGTCCATTCAATAGCTTGACGATTAAAACTTGGAGTTATCAATGCTTGAGTAAAAAATTGACGATTATATTTCCAAGATTTAAGATCATTATTAAATGATACTCCTCCTCCATCCATTCCATATTCACTTAATCCTTCCGAATTAGGTAATCTAATAGGATATTTAGTCTTTGTTGAAGGTAAGATCATATTATCAATTAAATCTGGCCTACCTACTACTATAAAACGATCACCTCCTAAAATTATTTCGAACATATCACCATATTTTTTATGTAATGATAATAACCAATCATTAAATCCATATCCAATTTGTTGATAAGAGTTACCAAGGAGTGGAAGTGGTAATGGACCTGGTAAAGGATTAATACGAGTAAAATAACGATAATAAAAATGAGTCACGTAGATAATTGAAAAAATTATTAAGAGAGAAGCGATTTCAGAAATTTCAAAAGATGAGATAATTGTAGTAATCATTGTTTAAATTGTTAAAAGGGTAAAGAGGATTAAAATAAATTAAAAAACATTTTTTTCTGGATGTACGGGTCTTATATATATATTACTCAGGGCCAAATGAAAAATGAATTATAAATTGATTAATTGATTTTCGACTGATGTTGCAAATTAGTACCAATCATATAATTACCAAAGGATTTACACAAAGGGTTCACAAAAGGGTTCACCGCCTGACTGTTCGCTCAAAAGATTGGGTCGATCAATGATTGGTTCATTTAGTTACATTTATTAACAATAACTGTTCCATAGTATAATAAACATAAAACTTATCAAAATTTCCAAATTGAGTTATATTATCAATGACGAATAAGTTTATTTGTTATTTTTTTTGAAAATTCGGTTTAAATCCCCGAAAATGTTGTGCACGTTGGACGAAGTACACAATATGTATTAACAATGCAAGATGCAAAGAGTATTATTAATTCGATCATTCGAATAATGGAATTTACACAATTTACAAAAGAAGATAAAAAAACTTTTTGCAAAAATTTTATTATTAAATTTTAAAAATTTTGTGAGTACTTTGATCGTTATCACTTTTTTCTAAATAGTATTTTTAATCATGTCGATCACTTTGATCAGTTTGATAAAGAAGTAAAAAAATAGCCGATCCATTTTCGAACAAAATAAGGTTCATTCAGCGATCTATAGATGGATTAAGTATGATAAACCAGTGATGGTTGCTATAATAAAGTTATTTTACAAGTTAATTTAAAGGATTTTTTTTCAAACTCTTATCTTAGTTGGAAACCATAATTTTTAGAGTTACAAATAATTGCACGTAATTAATTTTAATATTAATCATTTGTCGTAAATCATGTTAGAAAAACCCCTAAAAGTTTGATATCCAATGTGAATTTAACTAAAAACTTTTTAATTTTAACATGAATGGAATCAAGGAGATATTTTGCATCAATGTTTACATAAACAAAGGATAAAATCTTCATTTTAAACTTAAAAAGGGAATATTCAAACGTTATACTCCACGTGGACATATCACGTGATTACCATTGGATCGAATTTCGGTATAACTCCGGACCGAAATATTTGCAATATTTCCGAAAACTTAACCAAATAAATTTTTAAAGTTTAGTTTCTTTTTCGTTTCTTTGAAAAGTCAAAAAAAAAAAAAAAAAAAAAT